ATCTATTTCACATATATCCTGGATTTTTCACCCTGACCCCCAGGGGCCGTAAATGGGGGGGGGGGGGGTTGGGAAAACACACATTTGCATTAATTTTGAGATGTTTTTGAAGTGTAGCTTTATTATACTCAAATGAAAGGCAATTTAGAGTAGATTGCAAATATTGTAGCGTTTTTCTGATTCGGGCCTCAAAAAATTCAAAATGGCTGTCTAATGCGGGATTTTGCAATTATTTCTGATCTCTTAAAAGTATGGCTACATTATACTCAAATTGAAGGAATTTCAGAGTAGATAACAATGATGGCAGTGTCTTTCGGATTTGTGCCTCTGAAAATTCAAAATATCCGACTAGAGCAGATATTCGACATTACTTAGAGCCATCTTTAAAGTATGGTTACAATGATCTAAAATATTTATTGAAGGAAAGAGTAGATGGTAAATATTACATTGTGACTGTACAGATTGATGATTTATATGGTGTTCGTTGGGCTACTCCGTGAAGTTGCCATTTTCTAATTAGTATGACGTATTGATCTTATCTGTTTAATTGAAAATAAAATCGTCTATCTGATTATATTGTGCATTCAATATGATTAAAAACAATGATTCCATTTACAGTTCATTTTCTTTTAACATCATCTTGTTTTTTGTCCGGCAATTGTTTTGATGTTTAAATGATAAAACATATATTCCTATATACATTTTCACCTGTTGAGGACCTGTCAACATTACCGTTTCCTTATTATTGAGGGGTTTAACAGGGGTCAACAAAAATATTAGATTTTGATATTTTTGAAGTTTACAACAGATTATCTCCTCATTTATCGGCTTTTGTAAAGTTTATTAGTATGACATATTGATTTTATCTGTTTAATTGAAACTAAGATCGTCTGTCTGACTATATTTTGCATTCAAAATGATAAAAAATAATGGTTCCATTTAGTTCACTTTATTTTAACATCATCGTGTTTAATCGTTGATCCGCCATTTGTTAAATGATATGTTTAAATGATAAAACATATATTCCTACATACGTTTTCATCCGTTGAGAACCTGTCAACATTATCGTTTACTTATCATTGAGGGGTTTAACAGAGGTCCATAATAATAAAAAAGATTAGATATTGACACTTTTGAAGTTTACAACGAATTATCTACTTATGAATCGGCTTTTGCATTCAAATTATAATCTAAGATGAATTAAGAATGTATTCGCGCTATTTATAAAATTGGATTTTAACATCAATAAAGCATATGATATGATGTGGGGTGAAAGGATATATGATTTTTGCGATACAGGCTATCTCTGCAAGCACATAACTTTAGTAATAGATTATTTTATTTAGTAGAAAATAGACTATCCCATGAGGCAATGCTAGAACCCGAACGCTCTATATTGAAATTAATAAATACCGCCTCGCCCAATATTTTTTTCTCAAATAGGTATTCTGCCATATCAAGCTCCTGATCATCCAGTATTTGTTTAATATTGCCTGCAGAAATGAGGTTATTAGTATTACCACAGTTAATGCACAGGGCTGAAAAAGCAAAAATTATATGCATTGAAAGCTATGTCATTTCCCGGGGAAAATTGCCGGGCGTTAATGCATAATTGGCCCGCAACTATGGCCCGCCACTATGACGTCACATATTGCTCAGATCGATAAAGTAACATAAATGCCTTCTAAACTAGCACTAATACCCCTATAACATTCCCGGCAAGGTGGTAATAATAGTAATTGATCTGAGTACTATCCACAAAAATATTCATCTTTTGAATTTGACTTGAATTAAATCTTCAATAAATGAAAATCTGAACCATTTTAAGATATTCGAAAAATTCAGAAACTGCAAATAATTCAATTATAACTATTTAAAACAATTTAAATTGCTAGGATATGATAATAACCTTAAAAAGTAAACATTTGATTAGTTATACCAATCATTGTGATTTTAGAGCCCAAATGTTATCTCGTTTTACAGTTTCAATTTTATAAATCTTCTTGCTGTCAACGTTTTTATAATACTTTACACTTATTTAGTGCCTGTTTATAATGATACCGACATTATTGTAATATTGAAATCATATAAGTAATAAAGATCCCCAAATGGAGGTCAATGCCCCCCCCCCCCCATTTGACATGGCCTTATACGAATTAGGTTGTAGACATCAGGATGAAACCTGTTTTTATGATTTATACACCTCAATGATGTAATTTAATCGTAACAATGTACTAGCTTTCCATCTAAGAACTATCCGGAAAAATATTTAATTTTCGTAAAATAGACCCCTGCTGAAATCGTTCATAAATGAAGTTCTGTAACCTTGTATGGTTCACAAAAATTCATGAATGGTCAATGATATAATCCTAACTAACAAAAGCAAATTAAAAACACTAGGCTGTAACAATAAGTTTTAAAAAATTATACAGTGTTTGATGAGTTATACCCCCTACTGTGAATTTGGATTCCATTTTGATCTAACTTTTCAGTTGAAATTTTTCATTATGCCCTTGATATATAATAATTCATACTTTTTGCACTTATTTATTATCTATTCACAAGAAATCTTTTAAAATGATTATTTCTTTAAAAAATGGACCCCTGCTTAAATCTCAAATAAATGATAAATGGTAATGTTGTGTGGTTCTCAACAAGCAATTCCATATTCAGTGATATTAAATCTATCAATATAATCTATAAAAATGATTGCAACTTGAACAGGAGGTAATTTTAAAATTATTGTCAATTCCTTTAACACTATAATGACTGTCCGCTTTCTTTGTTTCGTAACTGTATTGTAACTGCGCGCACTTATTCATATGCAATACGGTACATATAGTTATAATCGAATAATAAGTTTTACAACATATGTATAAGGAAGTGAGTATAATTAGGTTATTGGCAAAATATAAGTTTATATTTTGTCATGTTGCCCTTTGTACTCAAGTTTTACTCACAAGAAGCTGGAAACTACAATAAGTTGAACTTACACTCCCCTCCATAAGTTTGGCAACCTTTTTCTCTCATTGAACTACGTGTTAAAGCCTCTTTACCTTTGAATTTTTATTTACTTAACCTGCGATGAAAATACTTATACTATTGATGGAAACGTAATTTGACTTTAATTCCAATACCTCCAAATTTTCTCAATTTTTTTCCTCAATTGCAATAGGTAGAAAATTGATGATGAATTTGATGAATTTTTGAAAATCGACATTCCCATTTTAACCAATGGGAAATGGTAGGTTTGCCGCAAGTCATATGACAGAATATCCATCCATCCGAGTCCTTGCAAAAAATACGAGTTAGGCAGGTAATTGAATTTGCTAACTTTATTTAACAAAAAATTGATATGTTTCTTCAGGTTCAACAAAGTTATAGGGCTTTAAAGTCAAAATTGTTTTTCAAAAAACCTCTCCCATTGAAATAACACAGGAGGCGAAAAATAATTTTCAAAAATGACTTTGAAGCGCTGTAACTTTAATATTCATCAAATAAACTAAACACTTAGTGTTCAAAAAGT